GGAGAAGACGAGCAGTGCCGGATCAACCTTCAGGTGCAAACTTCTCCAGGCTATCATCGCTCTACAGGTAAGAGGGTCTATAGTGTTGTTCGTACATTGTTGTTTGTTTTTGTTGTTTTGTTTGTTTGTTTTGATTTGGTTTGGTTTGTTTTTTTTGTTGTTTTGGGGGGGGTTGTGTTTGTTTGTTCGTTTGTTTGTTTTTGGGAGGGTCTTGTTTTTTGTTGTTTCGTTTTGGGGGGATTTTTTGTTGTGTTTTTGTTGTTATGCTTTTGGGGGTTACATAGTTTGTCGATTGTTTTTGGGGGTTTTTTGTTGTTGTTTTTTTGTTGTTGTTTTTTTTTGGTTTGGTTTGGATTGGGTTTTTTTATGTGCGGTTTTATTTTTTTATTGTGTTTTTGAGTTTTGTTTTTGTTGTGTTTGTTTTTCGTTTTCGTTTTTTGTTTTTTGTTTTTTGTTTTTTGTTGCTGTTTTTTTTTCGGGGAGGCGGGTTTGTGGGGGGGGGGTTCTTTTTCCATCAGGATGGCTTATATTTTGGGGCGAGGAAAACAAGGAATGCCTAACCCAGTACCGCTCCACGATGATACAGTTGGCGAACTGTGTAGTCTGTAAGTTGTGGGCAGTAAAAGATAAGAGAAGCCGACCGCAACAGCACGACACAGTTATATTTAGTCGTGCTTCTCTTTTTTTTTCTTGCCAACAACTCACTGATAAAACAGTTCAGTTGGCAAACTTTTGCGGTTTTGTCGCACTGCTGTATTTGGGCTTACGCCTATAGAGAGTGTAGTTTAGCCGATGTCACGCGTGCATCTATGCTACCCATCTACACATTGCGAGCTCTAATCTTGGAAGAGGCTGTAACGTAATGATTAAATTAAACAAAGGAGAGAAGGAAGTTAGTGCTTTCAGATTTTACAACGTTCAAGTCACGTGGTAGAAGGAAGGTGAAGAATTTTATGCAGATAGTGAAAGAAATAGTTCTTGCCGGTACATGTATATCACGAGGATTGCAGATTTTGTTTTTCATTCAAAAAGTTGGCAGCCCTGACTTCAAAACGCCGGTCTTTGATGAAACATTCCAGAGTAAACGAGATAAAAATGCTTGAAACCCACTCTCTGTCGTTTTCCCAACTGCTGTTGGGTCGACGTCTGTGCATACCCTCTACTGGTTCTGTTTGTCTTGGATTTTCCCCAACCACGAATGACCTATATCGAATGAATATGTGCTGTCCGTTTACTCAAACAAGTTCAGCGAATGATTGAATATAATTTGAGAGTACGCATTCTGATTTTGTCGACAACGCCTAAAGACTCACTGTTTTGGGGCACTTATAAAAAAAACAAAAAACAGCAAGAGACATAACTTCGTCATTCGTAAAGAATTATTTTTCAAATCGATTTTGTTTTAAATCAGGACCTTTACAAATCAACCAAAGTCAGTAGTATATCGTGCTTCAATTCAGTTTTTGGGGGATTTTCTTTTTTGCTTGTTTGTTTGTTTGTTTGTTTTTGCTTGTTTGTTTGTGTTTGTTTGCGTACTTGTTTTTTTGTGTGTTTTTTATTTTGGTAAGTTTTGGAGTTTGGGGGGGGGATGTTTTGTTTTGATTGTGGGCGGGGGGAGGGGGGGGCATTTTTCTCAAAACGACCCTCACTCAAGGTGACTTGTACACACTATTGTTCTGACCCCTTCCATTTTTGTTTGTCCTCGTGTCCGTCTTCATATAGAGCGGCTTGGGAATCCAGGATCTGGGTCAGTTTTTCCACCGTCCTGTGCGAGACAGCCACGGCAGCACGGTCATCACAGTGGTCAACAACGTGCGCGACCCCAAGCTGGTCACCCTGGGCTCCTGCAAGTGGGTCACCTTCGGCAAACTGGCGCGGCGCCAGAGCCTCTCGTCTGCCGTGGAAGTGATGGACGCCCACAGTCTCTTGGTCAGCGCGGTTCCTGTGAGTAGATTTTAATTTGTTAATTAATTAACTCTAGCTCTCTAGATAGGCAGGGGTTTTTTTTGTTGTTGTTGTGGGCAGGGGGGAGGGGGGGGAGGGGGGGGGAGGGGGGGGGAGGGGTAGTAGAGTTTTCACTGCGCTTTTGCAACTTCATAAGATCATATGACATATGGGCAGTTTTATTTATCTTTTGGGATCATTTGTTTTCTTGCAGTATAAAAAAATACAATATATACAATTCCCCAAAAATATTATTGAAATAATCTTACAATTAATTTTTTTTTCTTGGGTGGGGGGGGCGGGCTATAGATCTACGTTTTCTTGCATATTTGGAAACAATAAAATTGCAAACTTATGATATTATTGCAATGGTTTTCACCCAATTCTCTACCCACTCCCCCCCAAAAAAAATAAAATAAATAAATAAAGGGACACAGTTTACATCAATCATGTAGGAGGCGGGCTACTTCGACACTTCATGGCATGCAGGGTCAACTCAGGTTACGTGGTGTGCAACATCCCAGTAGACAGGCAGATATACTCGACATTTTTAAAGCGTCTATGCTCTGGAATCAAACTCATATCTTTTAATATCTTTTACATTCAGCTGTGAAAAGCTTTACCACTACACAACAGAGACGCCACAGTTCTCGAGACTAAAATGTGTAACATGTTACTTTCAATGTTTTTCTTTCCGAAGTGTGTAATTCAAAGAAAAAATTAAAGCTGTATTGTTCCTATTTCCTATCACGAACGTCTATCGTCCTTATCTCTCTTCCTTTAGTGTGTATGCGTTGCTACTGTCTTGTAACACATCTAATCTTTGGCACTTATATGACCTAATTGTGTTGAAAGTGCTGTAAAACTCTTGCCTCAACTAGAACTAACACTGTAACGGTTTTGCTGTACCCTTTTCCAGGAGATGATCATGTACAACCAAGTGAGTGGGCTCTGCCTACAGCGTGGTCTCTACCTAGGCTACATCAAGCTACAGGCTTCAGTGGAGGTTTTGAGAGTGATGGTACCGAACAAAATGCCGAGTTGTGTTCCTCATGTCAAGATTAGAGATTGTCCAAATGTGTCAAGGTATGGAAGATACGTAAATGTATTTTTTAAAAATATAAGTCAGTATGCTTTCATTAGAAATTGTACAACACTGGTCAGATGTTGATTTTTTACTCACTTGAGAACTTTGAGAAAATGGAGGAGGTGACTTTTCTGTGCGTCACCATTCTGCATAAAAACGGGCTAAAGGAACTGCACATATTAGAATCTATTGTCTTAAATATTTCTAAATATTATGTTCTTCAAGCCAATATCTAAATTACTGTATTTTCTGTCAAAGGCAATTAGCCCTCCCTTTGGATGATTTTATCTGAATTAGTTTTTTAACATTTAATTTTTTTTCCTCTTTTCACTCTTTCTCGTTGTGTTTTATTGGGATCTAAGCATGTAATCTTGTGCCAAACATGTCTTTTATTCTAAATTCTTGCTGTGGTTTTAGCAATGTTCTCTCTCATTATTCAGGGAGGAGTGGGAATGGTTGCAAAAGTCAGCTGATAGCAGTTCCTTGGGAGCGAACCTGACACAGTCCCAAGAAAACTTTCAACAAATCCTTTCCAAAGCTGTAAGGAAACTCTTCACACAGTTGGGTAAGCAGGTTTTGTCTTTCATATTATAGTGCTGATACTTGTATGCGAAGACTCGGTGTCAAAGTTATAAAGTGTACACATATCAGTGGAAAAAAGAAACAAAGAAAAGTTGTTCTGGTAGCGAATGGAAGCCCTGGGTTTCCTGTGTTGTTGTTTTTAATTTAATTTTTTTATTTGTTTGTTTGTTGACGGTTTTTGTTGTTCTTGTTTTGGGTTTTGGGGTTTTTTTTGGGGGGGGATTGTGATTGTTTGAGGGTTTTTTAAAGATTGATACAGGCAACATCACCCTAAAGAAGCCCCACGGTTTATTACATATTATATTATTTATTAAAAAGCTTTATATTTTAATTACCAATTTTCCTTTTAGACTTTCTTGATTTCAAGTTTTAGTAAGTTTACTGTTAATCTGACATGATTTTTAAAAAATTTAAATACGAGAAATTTTTGTAAGGACTACTGTGTTATGGATTAAACGTGCCTACGAACGCTGGTAAGTTGAGGGGCGGAACGTCCTCCTAGTTTGCCGCCCATCTCCGACAGGTCAGAATTAAGTCCACGGAGAACATCTTTCCTCGTCTCTCCTCCTTTTTTTGGTGTATATTACTCTCTTCTAACACCTCTGAAATTGGGCACGCCAGTATGACCTAATTATGTTGCAAGTGCCATAAAGCTTTTACTTAATCCCACCATCTATCTTCAGGCCTGTCCGATGACGTCATGTCCACTCACCGCCTGTACGACCTGGAAGTTCTGGAGCTGTCCCCCACCGTGGCCATGATCCTTGTGCTGCCCTCTATAGAGGACATCTGCATGGTCCCGGGCCACTCAGACAGTCTGGCCACCAAGACGGACTACACCTTCCTTCCCGTGCAGATCTTCGAGTCGAGTGAGTTGTCACGATCATCAACAACCATAGAGAATGATGAGATTGTAAAAGGGGGGGGGGGATTGGGGGGGGAGGGGGTTGTATGTTTTTTGTGTGTGGGGGGGGGGGGGGTTAGGGGGGTTGTTTGTTGGGTTTGTTTTTTCTTGGGGGGTTTTTTAATTGGGGGGGTTGTTTTGTTGGGGGGAGGAGGGGGTGGTTGTTGTAGTTTCGTTTCGTTTGGGGTTTTTAATTCTTTTTCTTTGTGGGGAGTAAGATGTTACAATCGTGAGGTTGGGGATAGTGGTATATTTTTTGGTTTGGTTTTTGTTTTTTTGTTTTTAGTTTCGTGTATTTTGGGAGGGAAATCTGATGTCTATCACGACTTCATCAAATTAGAATCACTTAGCGCGCTCATATGACCTTAGCAGTTGCGAGCGCCGTAAAACCTTATACTATACATACATACAGAATCACTTATAAAATGTTGTTTTCGTTACTTTACTTTTTCATTCCTCTGGTATCCTTAAAATGTCGAGTTTCGGTCATGTGCTAGGCGTGTAGTGTCTGTGATAGATATGTTATGTTGTTCCTGGACCTTTTTAACCCCCATCTAACAATGTCTTTCTTGGTCTTCCTCTTTATTTAAAGCCGGATTCTCGGGGGATGTAAGCTCTAGCCACTAGTTGTTTCTGGGGCATTCTGATTTGATGTCCAAACCATAATTTGACTCTTTGACGCTCTATGAATGTTATTACTGGTGGTATTCCAGTTTGTAGATTTAGGGTTTCGTTTCGTATGCAGTCTCTTCTGGTGACGTTGTTTTCATTTTTACTTCCTTATAAAGTCAAATTATATACTTTGTGATAGAACTATCACTGATAACAAATTATGATTCCACTTTCTGTTTCTTTTCTTTTCCAGTCCACATGAACGCATACTTGCCGGAGTTCTTTTCCTTGTACGCACGTCTTTCAGCAATCGTGGAGATGGATGGAGTCTTGGCACAGCAGGGACACAGAGAGGTAAACTTTTCGCCTCTTTTATATCAATGATTATTTAATTTCACTTGTAACCAAAAAAACGCATAACATGATATGGTATAATCGTCGGTTTGACTGGTTTCCTGACAAATTCCAACAATCCAAAAAGAAGAATGAATGGAAAAAAATAATTCCTGCGCAAAATTTAGGGATTTCAAATTTGTTTCTTTCTATCTTTTTTTTTTTTTTTTTTTTTGGGGGGGGGGGATTATATTATTATCATTTGATTTATTGCTAAATAGTTATAATGGGTGTCCATCCTTGTTCTGATGAAAGGTTGTTGTTGTTGGGGTTGTTTTGTTGTTGTTGTTTTTTTTTTTGGGGGGGGGGGTATTTTTTATTGTTTTATTTTATTTGTTAATAGTCTTTTTAAAAAAGTTTTCTTTCTTTCTTTCTTTCTTTTTCCCCCCTTTTTTTTTTGGGGGGGGGGGGGGTTAGACTCACAAAATATCAAAATATGTCCTGCCCTTTTAGCAAAAGAGCTAACAGTGGCATATTTATGTCGTTTAATTTTGGTCTCTGCCTACAAGCTTTAGAATTAAAAGGAAGTGTTTTTACAAGAAGCTAAAAACTTGCGAACATTATGGCACTGATACTAAAATTACATAGAAAGCATGTCTGTGGTTAATAAAAAAGTGTGTGTGTTTTGAAAGTGTTTCCCCCATACATATAACCACAAGAAAATGTGTATTATTCTTTTTTAGTCTAAACCAATTGATATTAATTATAATGATAATACTGAATATATGTGTTGATTGGTGGCAAAATCTGCAAAAGTAATGCAGTCATGTTTAGAATGTGCATTGGATATTAAAAGGGAAAATCAGTTGATATGGGTTTTTTGTTTGTTTGGTTGTTGTTGTTATTTATTTATTTTTTTATTTTTTTTGGGGGGGTGCTTTTTTTCCCCTTAATTACTTTTAGTTATTGAGTTTACTATATTTTGGAGCAGATTTAGAGTGAAGTCTGTTCTGTTCCATCGACAGGCTTTTTCTTCTGAGGAACTGAGCAAGGCGAAGGAGCAGGTTGAAGTAACAGCACACCTGCAGCAAAATCTGGACCGGGTGTGGAAGTGTGCGCGGTGGATCAGAGACATCACGACTTACGCTCGGAGCAGGGAGAGGAAAGCCGGCATTCAGCTGTCCCACATTTTAGGGAGATCGGGGACATCGTCGTCGTTCTCTGGTAATAGATCCTCTCTGATTCAAAGCAATGGGACACACCACAAGGCTTCAGCAAATACCTCTTGGAATTTTTCTCACAACAACCGGTCAAATGTGATAAGCGTTGGCAAAGACAATCGGAGAATCGCCAAATTCTTTGACCCGAACGAAGAAACTCCGCACAGCTCCGACAGTATTAGTGTTGGTGGAATGACCACAGGTTCCATGGATTCGGATACAACGAAACCCGGGTCAACCACGTCAGTGCCATCTACCCCCTCTCAGCAACACCCTCCCTTTCATCCGAAATTGTCCCCATCGTCATCGGTATCCTCATTGTCAACGACAGCATCTTCATCCTCGCAACTCTCTCCGGATCAACCTCAGTCGCCCCCGGACTTCAGCTCGGGCATCATCAAAGTCCACGCGCTGTACGAGACGGGGCTGAACAAGAGCGTGAACATAAAACTGCACATCACCGAGCACACGACCTCGAGGGACATCGTGAACCTGGTGGTGAGACACCTCAACACGGTGGTGAAGAACAAGGGCAAGGCCGTGCTCACCTACCCGGAGGAGTCCCTCAACAACTTCTGCCTCGTGCTTAAGTTCCAAGGTCACGAGAAGGTGCTGAGGGACGACTTCAAGCTGCTTCAGCTCAAGGGGCAGCTGCAGAGGGCCAAAGTCTGTGTTACCATGGTGGACACTATGTTCTCCGAATCCGAGCTCGGTGAAGCTACTGTTGTGTAGATAGATAGCTTAACTGATACAGAATAGACGCACGATACAGTCGAAATTGTTCAAGACGGCCATCCATTGTCGTGGTGAAAAGTGCTTGTCTTAGACAGGGGGACGTCTTTGACAGTGATCTTATAATATATTAAAATGCAAGGGGGAGGAGTCGTAAGTGGACATTCGTGCAGGTGGGTGTCTTGGACAGGTGACCGTTAGGGCAAGTTTGACTGTATGTTGAGATTCAGGATTTTAGTGGTTATACGTTGTTTTAGGCATCAGGGAAATTCCTATATGTTTGGAAACAGTAGATCAGAAACCTTCCGATGTCTTTTGGGTTGTTTTGTTTTAGATCTGTGTCAATATCTTTGTTGTTTTAACAATCGAACGATGGTGATAAAGCAAGAGTAGCTACAGTTCCCTTTCAGAGATTTTCTGAGATTTTCTATGTCGGCTGATACATAAGCTATATTCTAGGATAATACTGGGTTTCGTCATCTGACCTTGAACAGCTTTCCCTCCTTTACAACAGAAAAGTATGTACCCACAGACGACGCAGAAAGTTATTTTGCGGACTCTTGTAGAAACAGTTTCTCTGTCAATGATTTTGGCTTTTGAAAAATTTGGTCAAATCTTACGCTTGTATTATGATATCCAAGACTGTGCACTCTGACGTACTTCCGGTTCACCATGGAACGTACCATTTGCCTCTATTTAGAACCAAATGAAGAGTAAGAAGATCAAAGTTACGCACGCATTTGACCTCAGAGAGAATGTCATTTTGACCCTCATGTGCACACCAATTGTGTGAATCAGCAGCGCAGCAAAGTTTATAAAGAGAGGAAAGAGTGGTGACCATGACTGTATCCGGTCAAGGACATTACATGTATAATTATTCTAAGTCTATGGGTTGAATGTATCTACCATTTAGTGTTTGGGTTTTTTGGGGGCAAAAAATTATTTCTTTATAAAATGTGAGGCAGCGTGGTGGAATCAGGCTCTCGTCAAAATAATCAAAGTGAAGAAACTTGCATTTTTCCGTAGGTTTCTGAATTTTTATCAAATTTGTGTTTTTCGGCTCAACACATTTCATGATCATTAAAGAATTCATTTCTGTGTGGATTTTTCTGAAAAACGTTAATTAAAGGCACAAAAAATGTAAATTTTCAGTTACCACGGACTATTAAGATAAGGAAATAACTAATCTTTGGCGGCTATTTTCTCACTAATTTTACCTCTGAAAACAGGTGACCCCCTTCTATCGCAAATATCTCGACTTGTATTCAAAACAAATGGATACTTTTTTCATTCAAATTAAGACAAGTGAACAAGCTTTAAGATGATACCAATAACTCTACATGCCCAAAAATTGACGATAGCCTGATTCCACCACGCTGCCTCACAAATGTTTCAGTGATTCACACAACTCACATTGTAACATTCACTACGTTGATGACGACAAATTGTGGCACTGCAAGAAAGCTTGAAGAAACCTTTATCGGATTAGATTTATTGCAGAATTTCAGACATCGTATCTGTTATTTTTATAAGAAACTGTGATCGAAAGAAAGATAAGAAAATAGTTCCTCCGAACTGACACTGCCCAAAGCGTATGAGAGTGATTTGTACTTACCACTATTTATTCATATATTCTTATAAATTATTTGTCTATTTCTGTGTTCCTGTTGCTACAGTACTAATATCTAACCCTGATGCTCGTGCAAATAGCGACGTTTCCACATACTAGGAGGCAGCATATTCTATAATATAGGTTTCCAACGTGAAGGATATAAAATCGGAAAGATGTAGGATGTGTCAAAAATGGCTGAATCTGACTGTATTGACAATTTTTAGTCACCAATCGGAACTGTGGTATGAACTTCAAGTGTAAAAGAGAGGGAAAAAAACATACCGGTACGCAACATGAATAGCCATTCTATCCATTCTATAGACCGGAGAAATTTGTCTTTAATTAAGCTTTACAAAGTTTGACCACAACAAAGCTCTATATTCTTAGTCACATTGCAGATGTTTTGAATGTACTATTGAATAACGAATGTGCATCGCTTTGGTGTTTAAGAGGTAAATTGTAGATCTGCGTTACCTGGCAGTACACAAGTACCCTGGGTGTTCTTTTGCATTTGACTGACATAACTTAATGTTTCAAATGAAATCATCTGACGTCACTACTACCGTATAGCTTAGGGACGTATTCTCTTTAGAAAGTGTTTTATTTTGACCCGATTCCTGATTTTTGCTTTATTAAGTCGAATCTGGACAGAAAGCTGTTGACCTATCCATGGAGAGTGATGACAATAAGAGCCAAAACTCCATCACAGTATAAAAATTATAAGTATCGACATTCTATTCAGACTTCAGTAATATGAATAGAAATTGTCTTTTGTGTGCTAATTTCTAACAGACTGTTCAGAAAAAAAATTTGGCTACCAAGGCTAATTTTTTTTATCTCGTTTTAAGAAGACTCCTCACAGACCATTTTGTAATTCTTCAGCCATTCTGACCTGAACCCCCACCCCACATACTCTTTTAAAATGATCTATTTGATCTATATGTCAATGCTTTTTTTGTTAAGAGAAGCACATCAATAGAATAATTTTCATTCAAAACTAGGAACATAAGACGAACAGGTAGAAACAACAGAGGAAAAAAGAGGAGGGCCTACTAGTACTAGTGACACCCTCCAACCACCAACTTTTAACTTTTAAAAAAATGACTTTGGCTCTTTCTGTTTGAACTGACTAACCTTAATCATATTAAGTTACACGTTTTGATATTAATTAAATTAGTAGACAATATAAATATTCAGACAATCGCAATGTCTTCTTCACATCCTTAATACGTTCGAAGAAATCAGCTTTCTTACAGGAATCAAGTCTCATTGTGGCATCTCATAGATGTATATAATTGTCCTGAGCTGTATGCAATCTTGTACCAGCTCCTGTTTCCGGAGTTTGGGAGTTTTTGTCATAGTTGTCCAGCCTGTTGAACAATCTTCCTCTAGAGACTTAAAGCCCAAAACTGTTACGGTTAATGCATGTTCCGTAGAGTTTCAGTTTCATCTGTAGGCCTATTAAATATAGTTCCCGTATTCACGACTGGAATCCTGTGCTGTGCTGTGCTGTTATGGTGATTTACGTTACAGCCGGAAAAATTGAAGTTAGTACAATATAGCACAATGCCAGCACTGTGTGTGTGTGTGTGTGTGTGTGTGTGTGTGTGTGTGTGTGTGTGTGTGTTTTAGAGAGAGAGAGAGAGAGAGAGAGAGAGAGAGAGGGACTTAATGTGTTGTTGCCGCATGTATCGTTCCTCCAACATCTGGAGCAAACAACAATAATAATATGTCAATGGATCGTTCACTCACTCACTCATTGAATACCCCTCGCTTTTTCTCGTTTGCCGTTTTTGAAATAGAAATCGGATTACCAAAGTGCAATATTCATGACAGTGTGGTCAAAATGGCTCTTCACCATAATAATAGTTTGCTCGTGGGTTGTTGTGTTTTGTTTTGTTTATTCCAATGATCACTCATTCTAGCACTCATGTCAAACTTAGAGAACTTCAAAATCACAGTTCATCCATATTTTATTCTGTGTACATAGCCTATCTCAAACTCATTTAGCACGTTTATCTCTACCTTTTGTACTTTCTTCCAGCAACATTACCCATGTCACATGAAACATGTATAATTATTGATCTCAGCATTTCTCTTTAAATCTACTTTGTGCCTGTTATCTCGTTTTGTACTTTCAGAAATCAGATGACAATGCTTGAATATTTTGTAAAAAATCAAGTACTGTGTACTGTATCATTAATAATATTTTGTTGACGTGTCCCGTCTCTGTGCTAAGTCTTGTGAGAATTTTGTTCAGCAACCTGCACACCAATAGGTCAACCCACATTACGATCAAACTTATCTGGTTTATTCTTTTCTATTTCTTTTTTTTTTTAAATAATTTATTGATTTTGGACAGAACTGAGTCTTAAAGTGTTTTAACTTGGGTTTTTTTTTTCTTTTACTCTTAGTAGACTATAAGAAGTTACATAGATATGGGTAGACGTGCGTACTGATACTAAAAAATCTACCAACGGGTAACCCCTTCCTTTCACAGCTTGCTGCATACTCTGTCTTAGCACGTTAACAAAAGGTTCAAATTTCTCAAATCTATCAAAATATTATGGCTGAGGGGAAAAAAATCCTATTTTAATACGAGTTATCCACCTCTTACAGCAGTTATTGAGGCTCATGTTTTGCCTTTGTCTGCTTCTCATTTTTAACTTTCTGAAAACATAATTACAAAGTTAATGCTAATTTTTCTACTCATCTCAATTTTTGCATAAAAGTTCAAGCCAGTATACGATAATAACTTGCCCAAAGAAACTTGTTTAAAAGTGCAGCTTGTTGAAAGCTTAACCTGCTTTACTGATATAAATAGTACCACAAATTTAAGCTACCGTACATACATCGCACTACACACTTAAGGCACATACATCATAATACACATTTAAGGCACAACATACATCGCAAAGCGCTCATATGACCTTAGCAGTTGCGAGCGCCGTAAAACCTTATACTATACTACTATACTATACATCGCAAAAGAAATAGTTGCCATAGCATCCATTACCACAAAACTTCCACAAAAGCGTGTTCAGCTTTGCTGTTTTTGTTGTTAGTGTTTGTTGTTGTTGTTGTTGTAGTTTTTGTTGTCGTTGTTAATGTAGAATAATAGGGGTTTAAAGCTAAACCATTCTTATTAATTGAATCGCATATTATAGAGTCCTTGTGTACCGTTTCTTGTCCATTCATGTCGTGTTGTAAAAACTGTGGCCGCCGTAATTTATTCGTCGTTTCACTCTCGATGTCTGACGCCTTGTGGTTTTCCCCTTTCATTTTCACACTGAAGTTTGCAAGAAAATCAGTCATATAATATCATTACTTTCCTAGGAAGTTTTTTCACTCTTCGGGTGTCGTATGCGGAGGGTATGCTTGTTAACCCTTTTAGTACGTAGCCCGGGTTGATCGGCCATCTAACCGGTTATTTCAGTTTATTACGGTAGATTCTACATCATTTTATAAGATTCGTCCAGAGCGTGAAAGAGTTAAACCAACTCTGTAACAGTTCACATCGGTCCCTTCTAACAGAACTGCAACCTGTTCTGCTTACTGCTACACGCTGTGGGTAGATATGCGCACCACTAAAAAGTATTCCTTACCTTCGATACCTCACCTTCTATCTTCTGTACCCAGTTTCGGCCAGGTTAATTTAAAAGAAGTTCTATCCTCCACATTACTAACTTTTCTGGGGGGGGGGGGGGGGGCGGGTTCGCATTTAGTCAATACACGCATTAGGGTGATTTTTCTAACTTCCTGTTTATAGCGCCCAAGAAAGGGGGTTTATCATTTAATGTGTAACACATCTAAAAGACGGTTTAGTGGGCAATATAAAAATGATGTTTCTTCGAGTATGATGTACTCTCTCTCTCTCTCTCTCTCTCTCTCTCTCTCTCTCTCTCTCTCTCTCTCTCTCTCTCTCTCTCTCTCTCTCTCTCTCTCTCTCTCTCTCCCTCCCTCCCTCTTTCTCATTACAAAGTGTCAAGCTGCATGAGGCAAATATCAAATTACAGTCGAACCTTTCCGAGACGGCCATCCATCCAATGTTGAAGAGAAAAGTGGTTGTCTGAGACAGGTGAATGTCATAGATAGTGTCCGTATAGTGTATGTAAGCAAACCGCTATGGGGGAAAAGCGGAACGTGGTCGTTTTGTACAGGTAATAGTTCAAGACAGGTGGCTGTTAGAGCAGGTTCGACTGTATAATGATAATATTATTCGCTCCAACGGCATCGTTTCTGAACATTATATGTATGTGTGTGTCTCTGTGATGAGCTACAAATCAAAGTATGGACGATATTCTGTTCTTCAACCTTGTACATAACCATGTTAGATTAATGATTATTGTTGATGCCCACGCAGTTT